TCTATCTATACTGCTTATCATTACCTTCAAAATAATATGATTAATAATTCACAAATCTTTTTTATTGTTCCATTAAGCAGAGCAGGTATTTTACTCTGTAAGTGCAGAATATCAAAACTTTCCCTTTCCTGCCTATCATTCATATTATTATGCTGTTAATCATTTGGCAATTACACATCAGGCTGACACATTTTTCTTTTCTCAGTCTATGATAATAACTCCCTGATCACCAGTGTCTATGATCTTAGTTCAGGGTTGAAGTAATGGAGAATGACAGTAATCCCCCATCCACCGTGATTTAAATTTGCTCTATCCTTAATGATACATGTTCTGCATGCATGCAGTGACACAGAGCCTGTTAAAGGAATTATTAGCACTGATAGAGTGGAAAAGATAAGCACCTCACTTCCTACAGTGATGATTGAAGTGATACACTGCTGGAGACATCTGTTCACCTTCATTATAAAACTTTCAGAAGTAGATCAGAAAAATGACACAAGGGTTTAAACTAGATTGGCATCATTTTCACATTTTAACAGGTCTTTTATGTGCTTTTTGGTGAAATTAGAAATCAAAATGAGTATATCGTAATGAAGTGTAAGAAGCCTGAAGGGAAGAGAGCTATAGAGCAGTCAATATTATCTTAAGAGCCCTCTCAATAGCCAAATGCAAATTGCTGTATTTTCCAACACTTCTAGAAGAACTGAAGAAAAAGGGAACTAATGAAATAATAGAAACAGTACTCTTAAAGGACCAGTATGTAGGATTCAGTGTCATCTAGCAGTGAAGTTGCAGATTGAAACCATCTGAATACAGCACAGCCTTCCAAGTGTGTAGGAGAAACTATGATGGGCAAGAAACTCGCAAAAAACATGAAAGGCTCTATTTACACCCAGTGTATGGTTTGTCCATTATGGGCTTCTGTAGAAACATTGGAACTATAAATATATTTTTCCATATAAATGTGTAAATATTTATATTTTATATGTACAAATACTTGATCCCATCACCAGCTGTTTTATTCAGACTAAGTACACTGTGAAAGTGTGTATACGGTAATATAATAGCAATATTCTCACAGAGAATTGTTCATTTTGGTTCATTCCAGTTTTTTTTATCAATTGTTAATGATTTATGTTTTAAATAACATGAGAACACCAATTCAAGGGTGCCAGACAGGGCAAGCTTTATTTAACACAGCATAAAACAAAAAACAAACCAAAAAAAGGAAATAAAGTTAAATTTCCAAAATAGATTTTAAACAAATGTACATGTCAATCCAAAAAAGGCAAAAATAGCTACCAAATAAATATTCACATCAACAACAATATTTTCATGTGACATCCTTGGTGATGTCCTACAATAATTATAAAACAAGAGACGGTATGTACAATCATACAACTTCAATAGGACATGCTTAGGAGTTTGACTGCACCATTGTACCACACACTGACTACAACACAAAGGCTGCATATTAACTGACGTGGTCCGTGAGCCGCCCATCTAACCCATCTTCAGAAGGCCCGGCATCAGCTTCCTAACCCAAAGAAAAATATCAAGGAATATATTTTTTTTTAACAAGCCTGGCAACAAATGAATATCCGACACTGTACTAATGGATGTGGGGATGTCTGCCTGTGAGCCAACCCTCTCTGTCCACAAAACCAACCCAAGAGCCAGTCTCTCTTTCCTACGCTGAATTGTTGCTAGGCAATGTTGAGGAATTTGGTGTGTGACCATGAACTGGAAGCCTTTGTGCAAATCACCACTTAAAGTTCCTCCGACTACCGGGGGCAGTCCACAGCTCCAAAAAGATTCTGCAACAACCATCTCAGGGAGATATTTCCAAAACGACACACATCATGCTTTTAAATAACAAAAAAACAAAATACACATCAACCATAAAAACAAATAATGGAAAAATAGCTTTCTTTGGACAGGGCCAGCCTGTGCATTTTGATTAATTGTTCTCCTTAGTCCCACATTATTTCCTCTTTTTTTTGACACACTAGCCCTTTTTACAAGATGATTGTTAGACTTTTGAAGGTTTCAAAGTATATTTTTCGAATTTTACAAGTATGTACTGCACTGTTAACTCACTCAAGCAGTTTATTCAGATCTTACCGCTTTTTATTATGATTATGTAAAATTGACAGCAAAGTCTAGCATCTGCAACTCAAAGAGCGTTGTTCCCTCTTCACATACTCTGATCTATTTCATAGCACATTGTCATTGGCTATTTTATATACCAGTGGCTACTTACACGGAGGAGGAGGGGCAAACACAGATCAGCAGCCTCTTTGTACAGCAGAGATGGTTTCAGTCTATAACATCGATGTCCATGGAGCGCTATAGCATGACAGTAATCACAAAGCTGCGTCTTTATTGCCACACAGGTTACCTTGCATCACAAGCACTTAAATCATTATTGCTTTATGGTTAGAAGCACAGAGGTCAATGCTGCACACACACATAACCATGAAGCCAAAGATTTAAGCTCAGAAAAGGGTCCAATTTTTTGCTCCGCAGTCATTGTAACCTACAGTAAGTGCTGCTTATTGGAGGTCAACAGATTAACAAGAGTGTGCGACACAAAAACTTGAGTCATCTTGGAAGAGTAGAGTCAGGTTGGGAGTGCTACATTGGATTGTTGCAATTTGAGAGAAATCCACAGGCATATTACAGTAGTCAAAAACTCTCAATGACTTCTGGGAACATGATATGAAAGGCATTTTTCAAAACTGCATACCATTTGAGAATTGTTGAAAAAGTCTCAACAATACAATGCTACAAATCTTTTCTGAAGAATATTTGAAACAACAAACCAGATTTTCCCTTTAGCAGCCGGCCTGACTCAGGTAGGCATTTAACCTATGCTTTTAAATATGCCTCACAATGCTTTCGCTGGCATCGATAACCAGCCACAGCTTCATAAATAACGCTGGACAGTTCAGCATTGAACTGTTTGTGTGTACGCTCCTGGTCACAACAAAGGCATGTTTTCTCATCTATTAAAATGTGTCTGTCCCATCACCAAATATTATTTTAAAATAGACTCTAGCTGTGACAGCAGAGACACCGGAAGCCCAACTAAACTTCCTTACTTTTTATGTGTGTCCTTCGTTTTGTACACACAGAGTCTCTTCAGCCTCCTCCACCTAGTCCACTGAAAGCTTGTGGAGCAGCGCTGTCCAGAGCTACACAACCATGCATCAACAATCCATGCAGGTTGAAATAGTCTAGACTGCTGTCTACACAGCAGCCTGCACTCACAGCTCTTATCCCTGCTCTCATCACCACTGAGACAATGAGAACAGCCCTCTATGTAATAGCTCTCACTGTGGTTTGTCCCACTACTCCCTCTACATCTCTGTGCTTTCACAGGTCTAAATGGGGACACCAGCGACAAGCTATTTCACACCTCACATATCTTACTAAGAGGGATGAACAGGACTTTGCTAATTCCTGACAGTTTCATGCTAGATATATTTTTGCACTTAGAAAAATATCCATTGAATTGTCTGAGAGGCATTTACATCACAAGATTAAACGTCACATGTTGCACATTTCCAATTTGGACAAAATCAACATGTGCCTAGAGATAGTAAAATCAAACAGATGTAACACCAGTGTAGTTGCATACTGTTAACAGGTGAAAAAAATGGCAGCTTGATGATCAAACCTTGACTGATATTATTTGTTCGAAAGCAAGATAAACAGTAGTGGAAAAAGATTGATGTGCGCTAAAAGGTTCAGGAGCAAGTGGACAGCGAGGTGTCCACCTCTTCTGAGGGGCGTTTGGTTTCCGGGGGGGTGAGGGAAGGATTCAGCAGGATCCCCTGATAAAACCATCGTGCCCACCCCCCCTTCCCCGAGACCAAGAGGCAGGGGCTTGGGGTCGCATGTGATGACTGTAACCCAAGAGGTCTCCACTCACATGACCGAGCAGCTCTTGGCCTTCTCCTTCTTAAAGGTGGAGGAAAGCAAATCCGACTTGCTGGGCAGGTGGAGAAGTCTTTTGGAGAGGCGGCGGGTGGGGCTGGTCTTCGGGAGAGGCTGCAGCTTGTTGATGCAGGCCATTGCTGCGGTGCGGAACACGCTGTGGATGCTTTTCTCCGAGGTAAACGCTGAGCACTCCAGGTAAGCCTCTGCGCCCAGCTGCTTGGCCATAGCAGAACCCTGCAATAAATGGAGCGATGTAGGCTGCTGTTCATTACATCTTTTATTGTGTTATATTTGCACCAGGGTCACCGTGAGTGTGGAGTTCAGGAAGAGATGCCCCTGCAAGCTCATAAAATGAGGGAGCACGCAGTCATTGAATCTTCTAGGTGACAATAGGTGACTCATTATATTCTTTACCCATTTGTCATCATAAAAAAAATCAAATAGAAAATACTGATGTTTATAGTTTCAGTCGGCCTCTTTTTTCAAGCAATTAAAGAGCCATGTTCCCAAAATGATTTCTTGAGAATGGCAGCTGAAAATAACAGCTCCACTGGAAGTGTACAGACTTGTGAGGTATAATGTTCAAAGCCGAAACAGATAATAGGATATATATATCAATATTGAAAGGTCTGTTGATAATTGTGATATTTATTGTTACATAAAGTATGGCATTGAATACAGTACTGTATATTCCAGGCTAACTATATATTTTATCTCACCTGCTCATAGGTGATGGGAGTCTGTTTCTGATTAGACAGCTCCATCAGCGTGCAGACATCCGTGCGTAGGTCGATCTTACAGCCAATGAGCAGGATACGTGTGCTCGGACAGAAGTCCAGGATCTCAGTTTTCCACTGTGGACACAAAAGGACAATCAGCTCAGTGGATCTATTAGAGTAAATAATACCATTTAAATAAATATTGCATGGCCATACGGTATACTTTAAACAAATCACACAATATTTAAAGGGATTGCTAATAGAAGAATGTTAAAATGGTGTACAAAAAAGAATTATGACCGTAAAGTGAAGTACTGAAGTCATTACCTTCTTCAGACTGCTGTCCACAGTGTCCGGGCGGCTGATGTCAAAACACAGCAATACTGCATCTGAGTCGCTGTAGCACAGGGGCCTCACATTGTCGTAGTACGGAGAACCTTTGAGGGCAGAAAAGAGAGAATTAATAATGTGGCTAAAAGACAAACTTTGATCCTTTTGACCACAGGAACTCAAAACAGTGCCACGCTGAATATTTTTGATTAAGTTTCAGAGGAATCTCACACAGCCATCATTTTGAAATATTGGCAAAGGTCCTCAATGATTTCCTCATCTTAATGCTGAAAAACCCTCGTCGTTTCCCTACTTTGTAGTTGTCAAAGTTTCTTTGTAAGTTTTTTTGTTCTTGAATTGATGGAAAATGGCCTTATGATGATTTTAAAACATTGAGGTCAGACCTGCAGGAGACAGGGCATATTTTCACATCAAAGGTACAAGGGTTTAGGCTAAATTTGCATTGTAAAATGATAAAGAGTTCATGATCCGAGCCGATGATTAATTCATTTTAAGTGGAGATTGTTTCAGGAATCGATTGCTGTGACAACAGGCACTTGTTCAGAGAAAAAAGGGTGATGGAGCAGCAGAGTGGAAGAGGCAGAGTGAGAGAATACGGCTGCAGGGATTACGTGCAATCGGCATCACTTCTCCTGCTGAGCCTCACTTTGCTGTCCCTGAAACTGCTCTTTCCCTGCTCCTATATCCTCTGCTGCCATTTCAGAGGGAGAGAAGATGACAATCGAGCACTAAATCCTCATTGATCTTCTCTTGCAGTAGATTACGCAAGTGGAACGGTGGGGCTCCGGGCAGGCAGACGCTCCCACTCATGCTCAGAATCCTTAAGTAAACCACCCACCCCCCAAAAAATCCTCTGCTCGGCGCGCAATACCTCCAGTCCCTCTGTTACCACAGCAACAGCCTTGGAATCCACCATCTACATCAGGCATTCCTCCCACCTCTCCATAAAGGCTCGCCTTAACTGCCAATCAATCATTTTACACCGCAAACTGCCCACCCACCTACTGTTGGGGACATTCCTCTGCTCTGCAACAGAGTTGGGGACCACAGACATACATCCATCATGCAAACATACACACATTCACACCACACCTATAGCACACAGACTCACTATTTAAATTTGGCAGCAGCCAGAGGTGAACTAGATCTATGTATCAGATGAAACAGAAGAGGAGCAGCTCAATGGGATTAACATGTTTACTTTAGGCTCTGTGTGAATCCCAAAAGGGATTCAGTGTTCCTCTTATAACCACAGATAACAAAAGCAGTCTGTGTAATCACTCATTTAGATATTACACAACCATCCTAATTGATTTACAGTGTAGAAAACAGTGCATGAGAAGAAAACATATGAAGCAGCGTACACAACATGGATGTGTGCATATACATCCGTTTCATGAATACTTAATGATTTTCCACATTATCAAAGGGTAAAACCGAATTTGCCAGCTGCTGGGCGCTGTGAGTGGAATAATGACAAGCTGCGATGAAATTCCTCAGGGTCCTCAATGTCCTGAAGGAAGTAAACATCACTGCAACGGAACAAAGGGACATGCTTGTTGTATTATAATGCTGTTTCTATGCCTTTAGAGAGAATAATTACTTTGTTCTACTCTTAATTAACTGAAACATTCTGATTAAAGTAAATAATTTACTAAGACTGTATCTTTACAAAGAGGAAAGACGTCGCCACCTCAAGAATACAAATTGTATTATTGCCCAAACACCATTTACACCTAGGGCTGGAGTAGATGTGTGTTGACTCTGAAGAATCTCATAGGAAAGTTAGAGGCAGGGTGCTCTATACATTTTCTCAATCTCCCACGATGGGTTATCACACAGCCGGGAAACTGGGTGTGATTCTGCATTAAATGGCCACTGATCTGAATGCAACAATCAATAGAAAGCTGCACAGGGGGTCCTGGACCCTTTGCAATTAAAGCTGACAAATTAGTTACCCTGCCAAGGGGGAAGGGAGATGGAGGGGATGTCTAGGATGCTTTTTTTCTCCACAGAAATTTTTCATTTTGGACAAACAATGCACGATTCAGTGGGCGTATTTATCCAATCTTCAAAGGGAATAAATGATATGAATGTGTAAATATTAGTATTGGAAGCTCCACAGCATGGTGTTTGGGCACAGGAGCAGCCTTGGCAGCGCTCTCCCGACACTACAGGACCCAGTTTCTAATCCTGGAAGAAATAGCTGTTTCTATTGTGGCAAGAAAAAGCCAGGAGGAAGAGAGGAGGGAAAGCAGGAGTGTCGCCTACTGAGGCAGATCACAAAGAGCCCTCCTATGCCATTAATCCTTCACCCCCTGCAGTCTGATATCACAGAGTACCAGTCTCTGTCTCTTTCCCTCTCTTCCCTCCTTTTCTCCATTGCAACAACCCAAAAATGGCTTGGATAGACAGATCAATACACACGCAGAGCCTAAGCATGCTCCAAATGTTCCCTTTTCTTCCTTTTTCTCAACAGCATGCCTGTACAACAGATGGAGAGTTTCTGAGGCATGAAACATGGAGAGTGAGGCAGACTAACTGGGGAGTGGAAGGAAAAGAAAAGAGCATAACAAAATTCCTGCGGCTGAGCTCTACTCCATCCGTCTTGATGGTGTGGTGCCCAGAGCTAAGTGTCGAGGTGGAAATTGGGCCAGAGCAGAAGTAGGCTTCACAGGCTCAGACGACGGGGCCTTGTGTTGGAGCCTACAGGTGGGGGAGGGGAGGATCTGCTTTTCTGTGTGTGCATGAGTGAGGCCGTGAGTGTATTTTTGTGCATGTGCGCTAAATCAACTGAGTGACAGAGCCTGTCTTCATCATTAGCACACTCCTCTCCTACGGTGAGAATGCAGGGGTCAGACAGATTAATGATCCAGTGATGGGATGACTCACAGATTTGGGGATGAGAGGAGCTCTGCCCCTCCACCCACACTCAGCCGGCTGGGAGCTGCTGTTGCTGCTGCAGCTGATAACTACGGACTTTAGAGCCAAGCCAAGAAACACACTACATTGCGTCAGACAGTTGTTTAATGGTTTCACATGCCAGAGCCCATCAGAATAACAGCTGAAGCCCCCTGCAGGGAGAGAGAGGACGGGTCTTTGTTCCTGAGCATCACCACATCTAAGCTGTTAATAAGCCTCACTTTGTAACTTGACACTGTCAAAGCTGATCATACTCTGCATTTTGAAGTTGAGTCAAACAACAGATTGCTTAAAACATTTAAACAAAAGCCTTGATGTGCATTGAACTAAAAGTGTAATCTGCCAGTAATCTTTCACAAAGTTTTATTCAGTCTCAAGGTAAATTGTCAATTAAGTTTGTTAGAATCAAATATATCTGCTTAGATTAACACTTATTTGTTGTAATGCCTTATACCTTACTATAATTAAAAACTAAACTAGGGCCAAAACAGTTACTCAATGAACATAATAAACAAATCAACAACTTGGTTATTATTGGTTAATCATTTAAGTCACTTATGATGGAAAATACCAAACCTGGTTCCAGCTTTGCAAATGTAAAGATTTCCTGCTTTTATCTGTTTAATAGTAAATTAGTAAGTAAGTTTAATAGTCAATTAAATAACCTTTGGACTTCTGGTTGGAAAAAAAAAAATTTAAAGAGACTTTTCCCTAATCGCTGAGATTTTATAGATAGAACAGTTAATTTATTAATCATAAAGTTTATACATTTATAAATAAAAACGTAATTTGAATTAATCCATAATTTAAACAATCCCAATTTGTAGCCCTAAATAGACTGAACCCTAAAAATGGCTAAAAGCTGAAATGACTGATATATAGCCAATACAATTATTACTGTCTATTAACAGTGGCTTTCTTTTACAATTATACAGATTGTTTCATCAGCTTAAATTGATATTGGGTTCATTACAAATCAATCTCATTCATTAATCATACAAGAAATGATGATATTTACAGTATCCTCTAAAACCCAAAGGCTTTATCAGCAAGACCCTTCAACCTGAAATAAATTACTCACTAACACCATAACGAGATTCATTATTCACTATACATGAGTTACAGCCACTGGACGGTGTTCGCCTCCCCCACCACCCTCCCCATGTCCGATCGTACCAGGCTGATTAAAACCGGTGGATTGATTTTGGTCTGTAAATCCATGGCGGGGCTGGGAGAAGGAGCTGCCTGTGTGGAGCCGGTGATGAGGTCAGTCCAATCAATGAAGGGGAGTCGGGATAATGAGGAGACCCTCTCAGTGTGGTGGGGACGCAGTGGCACAACTCCACACAATTAGAGCAAATTACAGTAAGAAGAAGAAACCTGTATGGTGTGACCAACAAATAGCCCCTGAGCCTGTCGTCCATCACCGGGAGCCTGACAAGAGGTACATGAGAGTCATCTATAACAGATGATGGGGAGGGGGGGTGAGATAAGTCCTTATCTCAGTGTAACAAGAGAGTGAAAATCCACTTTTAGTCTTTATATCAAACCTGAAGCCTGTTCCTTCCTTCCTGTGGGAGCACATGGTAGCTCCTGGTAGAGCGTTCACTCCACGTAGGCCTTATCGCAGGAGCCTGGGTTCAATTCCAACCTGTAGCTCTTTGCTGCATCTCACCCCCCTCTCTTACACCCCCCTTTTTTTCCTGTCTGTCCTCAGCTGTCCAATTAAAAATAAAGCCATAGAAAGCCCCAAAACATCTTTAAATAAATAAACTCCTGTGATGAAACAATGAAAGATGGGTAGGGTGGAAGGGGTAAAAGGAAACAGAAGAGCTAGTTCAACAAGGAAAGAAAGAAAGAAAAAAAGAAAGAAAGAAAGCATCTCAAACTCAGTGGGTCAGTCAGAAGGGGTGGCCCAGTGGTCCTATTCACAGTCTTAATCCTCTGCATCATGCTGTTGGAGTGGGTGACCCGGAGCAGCATATGGAGGAAAATGCAGGTCACCAGAGTTTCTGAGCTGCCTCCTGTCTGTCTGCTCCAGAAAACCTTCCTGCGCGACAGGATGTCTCTCTGTGTGCCCATCATCCCTCGGCACCAGGCCCACTCCTGCTGGCCAGACCAAAGTTCCACAGTCTGGGATTAAAAAGCAGGATTTGGTCTGGGTAGGGAATTACATTCACTTTTTTTTTCCTGTTGCCGAGTTTGGATAATGGGGGATAAGAAGTGGGGGGGCCTGGTGGTGAACCGCAAAGGAAACAGGTAAAACTGCTATCCAGCATCAATACCACACGCGCGGAGTGAAGGAGCGAGCCCGTTACATCTTATCATAGGATGTTTACTTGTCGACAGCAGAGACTGTATGCCACAAAAAAAACAACACAACCAACATTGAAGTGTAGCCAACTTGCCCCCAGCCTACAAGCCTACTATGACCCTTGTGCGGTCCGCTAGTATACACATCCAAGCGAGAAGTAGTGGATGGAGAGCGGGAATCCTGGAAAAGCTGAGAGACTAAGGAGTCATGCAAATGAGCAATGAAAGGGAACAAAAAGGTGCAGCAGACCCGTTGTCTACTAGTAAAATCCAGGTCAACAACCTAAAACATTTTTTATCAAGGAATCCCTAAAGAGTGTGAGAATCCACTCTGTACCCAGTATCAGTTACTTGAAACCCTCTAAATTTCTACAACGAATAGTGAAAATGAAACATATGAAGGCAAACAAGTCAGCAAATAACAACTAAAGAGGCGGAATAATCACAGTCTTCCTGCCCTAGTTACCAGTGAATAACATCAGTAGTGCGGGGAACACGTACTCGTAGAACTGTCCACATCCTTTATCCTGCCAACATGGGATGCAAAAAATAATTAGATATAAGAGGGAAATTAGATCAGCGCCTAAACTGGAAGTCCAGACCCAGAACCTCAATGCAGTTCAACAAGTGGCAGATTGTTGTGACGCTTGCATCAAAAAGAACAATAAGAGTCAAAATTAAAACAGGCTTGATCTAAGTCCTTTAAGTTAATCAAAACGTAATTAAGCCATGCATACCGTACGATTGTGTTTCGAGTATTCGAACCGCTTCGATTATGGACCACTTTATCATATTTCTCTCACCTTATAATAGGTTCCAAGATGAAGATTGGGAGAGTGATGAATAACATTTCTGCCCCCTATATGCCATTATAGAGGAAGATTCAGTAGCACAGCTCTCTTTGAGCGGACTAGAAGCCAGGCTCATTACATTCACGACATTGCTTCACACAGAATCAAGGCGAAGGACATGAATGGCAAGACCAGTTGAATCAGGACCAGCGCAGACAAGACAGACAGACACAGGCCAACAGACAAAAACAGAGAAATCAGGGTTATTCAGTAGGCCTATATACCTGAATGCCCACCGCACCACTTCGGCTGCCCTCGCCAGACAGGACTTCAAATAGTGGGGCACGTAGAGTCTGGGGAGCAATTACAACCCATAGTGGGAGGTTGTCATCACTCAGCAAACAGGTAAAGGAAAAATTTATCCAGATATAATCCTTCCAGTGGCACATCTACCGTAAAACACATCACAGAGGATGGAGCGGGAGGGGGTGAGGGAGGGTAAATTCAAAATAATAAGCCTAGTAAAAATGTTTCTTTCTTTCTTTTTCAAGGAATTTCGGATCAATCAATCAAATCACTGCAGTTGCAAGAAATATTCAACCCAGGCCAATATGTAACAATCCTAAATGCGTAGGGAAAACATTTTAATTTATCATGCTTTAAAAAATCAAATGCATTTAATAGTATTACGGTAAATGCATTACAAAATAAGCCGAGAGGACGAGGTTTTAGGGAAATGCGCATGAAAACTGTGACCGCAACAGACGCACCGATTTTTTTCCCTGCCACATTCAAACATTTTTCAGAAAAAAAACACTCTAATCATCAACAAAACACAGAACAGTTTTATGTGCACACATTTGTAGTTCATTTTCCATAAGAGCATACCTCTGGATAACAATCCTTCGCCAGGACTTGCAACATCGCCGTTTTTCCGCATTGAACGTCTCCCACTAAAACCAGTTTACATCTCACCACCAACGGCTGCGTATTTCTCCTTTCCTTCATGGTGTTAATGATGGTTCAGTGTTTTCTGTGTTGTCTTCGTTGTTGTTGTTGCAGAAAAAAGGCAAAAAAACACGCAGCAGAACAGCCCAGAAATCGTCCCAGTGTGATCGAGCGTCCCGGTGTCTGGCTCTTGGAGGATGCTCGCAGTTGATCTGATTGAATTTGCCACTGCGGCTCTTTATACAGGCGAGCAGCAGCCAATAGGAGCTCACCATTCCACAGGCTTTCTAACATCCTCTTGCTGCACTCTGTGATGTTCTCAGAGAGCAAAAAAACAGTTATTTTGTCAAGGATGGAACAGCTGCGTTATAAGCAGGGATTTCTTTGGAGATTTTGTTCAGAATACTGTGCGGGATTACATTATAAGGAGTTTAATAGTTTGATACTCATTCATTTTTTCTCTGCAAACTAAGCAAATGCATTGTGAACAAGTAATTTCAGCTTCTTCTCCATCTTTCACTGTAAAACTGTTTCAACATGAGATCTCAGGGCTCATGAAACGAAGCAGTCTGTTATTGCAGACTTCTGTTTTGTCACCTGTGTGTTCTGTCACTTGGCCTGCTGCAAATTGATTGATTGCATTGACTCGACTGGCTGGATCAATAGCATGCCACTGGCTGAGGACAATGGGACTGATAGACCAATCCACAGTGGACTAATTAGTTAACTTGAATCTGCTCAGTGGAGTCAAGTCAGTTTTATCTAAACATTTTTCTATCTTTTTGAAAACTATAAACTCCATCTTCTACAACTGTCATTCATTCATTCATTCATTCATTCAGTGTGGGAGTATGTGCAACGTAAATATCATATTATAATATTGGCTCTGGAATGAAGCAAATTGTCACTTAAGCTCTTTTTTCTGTGACTGTGTATTTACCAGTGATGTTTGATTCTCATATGTGGTCAGTTTCTTCTAAAATCCAACATTTCTTACAGGTTACAGGCTCCCAGAACGGACAGATAAGATGTTTCAGGGAATGTTTGCTGATCAAAGAGCAGTTTGTTGACATGCAGGGGGTGTTGTGAGGCCCCCTGATAGGTGACCAACTATCGGCTGGCCAAAGGGTTAAGTCAGAGGTCTTTCCTCTCACTTATGCTGGTCAAACCCCTGGGGACACACAAGCACTGACTTTCACACCCTGAAGGTTATTACTGTATGGAAACAGCACCTCATTGTTAGGAAAAGGAGAATTAAAAGATAAAAGTCAAGTAGCTGCCTTCCCCTGTGTCTGGCAGCATACTGGCTAATTTACTTACTGTTGCCAATCAGAGCTCTTGCAGTTTATGCCCCAGTGGGTCAAAGCAATTTGCCTTTGTTCACAAACAGCCCATATTATTCATCCCCCATGCTGGAATCTGTCTGTGTTTTACAGCCCAATATGTCTTGTTGTCATCATATACAGCTCTGATTGTAGGGGTTGTGTCTGCATGCCGGGGAGAAAATGGATTTTATCGCTGCTGCATTTCATTTACATCAACAATGACATTTGACCAAGTGCACTTCTATGGTGTGTATTGGTATGTAACATGGCAAGCTAGTAAACATTGTAATAGTTAGCATGCTGATAAATGAAGCAGCATCGCCTTCAATTTCAGTTCATTTTATGTAAAGTTTTAATATGCAATTTCTATAAAGCAACAAACTGGGCTTGTTGGAAACTAATTCACTTTTGCAGCTATTGTTAATGCATTAATTTTTCTATTATTGGTATTATAAACGCTTCATTGGTTATTCCTCGTACAAGCGTGACAGAAGATGCACACTATGTGTACCAGGCCCAGATTTTTGGGCTGATTGGTAGAGAATAAAACTATAAGCTATATAATAATGGTGCATACAAGAAAACAGAAACAGCTCAGAAGAAAAGTTGCAGACTATGAATTCTCTCTAACCCTTCGAAACTAACTGCATCGCATACAAGAATGCCTGTGTAACCACCACAGAGTTCCTCTGATGGGACAGAGAGAGACAGGTGGCTGTGAATAATCATCAGGCATAAAATAACACCATCCAATATGGCTGATACTAGAGGATGAGAAGGACGAGGCTGAGGAGGAAACAGCGGGGGAGGCTGACTACTGGCAGGATAAAGCATTGACACCTTAAACCATCACACCTCGATATATTTGGTGACAGTGTTGGTAATTATCATCAACACAATGACAGCAGTCTGCACACGGCCTCAGGAAAACAGACAAAAGCTGAGTCACTATCTTTCTCACAAAGAACTGGGAGACTTCCTTATTTTTCTGCCACAAACTCATCAGCAGATGGTGTTGTAACCCGAGATTTCTAGCATGACTTTCACACCTGATAATCTAGACATACATATGAAACAGCAATTTACACTTTTTATGAGCTTATGACTGGGAGGACATGTTAGATCTTCTAAAGATGGAAGTGATATCAGACTACCAATTGATGCAATGTGGCATTACAAGCATGGGACAGATGGCAAATGATGATCATATGACTTCTCTTTGTGCAATTTTAATGTGAAGAGATGTGTTGTCCAAGATACTGATGTGCAGAGCCAATACAAAATGCCAGCTTAGCTTTGCTGTGACCAAAAGTATGGGGACACTCCAAAAATTACACCCACGTTACTGTTAAATATCACGTTACAAACCCATGGGCTTTGATATGCTATAAGATTTTATAACCTGTTGCAGGGATTTGCTCCCATTCAATCACAAGAGAGTGAGCCTGGGAACTGTCTGGTTCAGAGTCGCGTTCCAGTTTATCCAAAAGGTGCTGGATGGGGTAAAGGTCAGGACTCTGTGCAGCCCCGTCAAGGTTCTTCCACACCAAACATTCACTGTAAAGACTGTTACAATGTAAAAACATTGAGGCAACATTTTCCATCCACTCTTTGTGAGTTTAATGAACCCTAACCCTTAATAATATACAGTAGATGTAAGACTTATTAATTAAGCCAAGTCGAAAAAAGAGTTCAACCAACTTTATTAAAGTGAACATACATAAGAGTACTTACATAAGACTTCTACATCAAATATAAAAGTCAATTTTTATCATTTTTCTCTTCTAAATCTACATTGAATAATTAGATAGCATTTAGACAGTTCGCATTTTAACAAATAAAATACAAGTGAAAAACCAATATATTGAAATAATTTACATTTAATAACCAAATAGATTAGCAAATTTTTGTTACTATCACTACTTTCCTGCAACACAGCAGATTAAACACAGGTTGAACTTTGAAAACCATATCACAGGAGACCTCTGAGATATTAGAAGCAGGAGACCATCGTTCCCTCCACAAAAATTAAACTTTGACCCTGTTATGTGGGTAATTTCATTTAAATTAAAATAAAGTTAACACACTTAACTAAGCTTTACAGACACCACACAGCACTCACACACTTCAGACTGTGGCTGTATGTCCGTCCAAGGAGAATACAGCATGCACCAGTCAAATAATCAAGACCAGCCAACACTGAGGATCCCTCGATGATGAGGCTCATTCGCTTTTAAAGGTCACCTGGCTTTTTGCAACTGTCATGTTGAAACAGGACATGACTCTAAACTACCGCCACAAAGATGGAAACACTACTGTCTTAAATGTTTTGAGATTTAGCAGTTGACACTAAAACCAAACTATACAGCACCAGAACAAAAGTACACACCATATAGTGTATAAACCCAGTTTCCAGCACACACTTAAAGGGTTAAACATCTGGTACAAATACAGCTTGAAACAAAAATAATTACCAAATATTCAACAACATGTCTTTCCAGAAATGGTGTCCCTGTTACTCCAAAAACTCCACAATCCTGAATCATTGTGCAGTCTTTTTTGTTAGAAAGTAGTTCCAGTGAAAACTAGCGGCATTCTAAGTGAGAAAATATATTTTCTCTTTTGTAATTAGGGCGAACTGGCCCTTTAAAAAGCTGTTATAAAGAGAAACATAACCATCACTGTATAATATTTCTGCTTACAACCTGAAGATACAGATATGCCACTTCCGCCCTCTGTTGGTGATATTATGAATCACAGCAAAGAAATAAAAACACCACACAAAGAAATGTTACTTAAATGTTGTTGTGTTTTATTCACCCCCTCTTTCAAATGTGCTATAGACAAAAGATGCACCCTGTACACATCCTCATCAGACACTGTTGGATATCATTTATCTTATCGACTTGTCAGAAACCACGTGAAATGTTGACATCATCATTAGACCAGACAACTTATTCAGTATTGGAGGTGGGTACAGCAGAACGTTTAGTGCATTTATTGCATCGTAAAGCAGACATATAAATGATAGTAGTGCAATTATACCCCATCATAACTGAGGAGATATCTTGATAGTCTCAGCTAGTGTCTCGTCAATGCTAGACTTTGTATTGCATACAGAATTTAGGCAAGTGAAACGCAATAGGAAATGATAATAGTAAAAAATTGTGCTTTGGAGGTCCAAAGAATAATTCAATTTTTGTAGAAATCTCCTGCAATAAAATTAAGCAAATAGAAGGAGCTGATAAATATATATATATTGTTTAGTTTTTTTATCGAAGATAGTGTGCTCTCTGTGTTTCATCAAGTAGAAGTCATGTATCTCAAACCTGGTCCTTCAGAAATGAATGTGGGAGTCAGTGATAGCAAACTTTACGGTGGTCCTAAATAACTGCAGTGCATCATTCTAAAAAGAGAGGAAAATACATATAAACACATGCTTTCTGAGGCATTTAATATAGAATTGTGTACTGTGTACTAAAACCCTTCTACTTTCTGTCAGCATTTGTTTCTTCTGTGCAATTTGATAATAGTAATAATAGTAATAATTATAGTATCTGCATATTGAATATACAGTATGTACAATTAAGCCTTGATGTATACGTGTGACTGGTTATGTAGGTCATGTTAATTTATTCTGAAGAGTGAATGGCTCATGTGAGGATGGTCCCAAAAAGCCCTTCTGATGAAACAGCAATACAATATGTCATGCACATACATTAGGTTATTTACATGTGTGATATGTAAGCTGAATTCTATAGTTGTATATGGTAAAAGCAGATGCATTGATGTAAGAATTGCAGTGCTTATTGAGATGCATTCATTTTTGTGAATACTGTAAGACATAAAATGGAGGCAATAGATGATTAACTGAACACAAAAGAGACTACTGGTGGCTATGCAAAGTTTGGATGAAGCTTTTGGTATTTGCAGCAAAGACATTTAACTAGTCTTATGACTGGAAGTTCTATATATGTATATTTAATGTATATCTTCCAGTTTGTTTGCAATGGGCAGAGAAATAAGCTGTGGTGGGTATGAGAGTGACATAAATATGCCACCAGAGGTCACCCTCCATGTACTTATAAGCCTGCAGTACACATGCTGATTTTAGCTGTTTATGCTAAAAGATAATGAAAAAAAATGAGTGGGTTTACTAGGAAGTAACCCTTTGCAATCTGTTGATTTGGGAGATCAGGGCTGATCAGTGTTGTAGCACAGTGATGTAGTGGAGGGTGGGTGCAAACATATGCAGCATTGCTACTTCTTATTCACTGAGCAACTTAATTCTGAGGCTCCATTGATGTCTAAACTCAACCAATCATCAAAAGATATAGGCCACCCACTACTTCAGTTACAATTATGCCACTGAGTAGCAGTGAAGTGTGACATTTAAATGATACCACTAATGTCGTAAAATAAAATGCAGATATGATCCTGTTTGTGTAGTTTGTGGAGAGTTTAGTGCTAATATCACCAGGAATTACATTCAGCACACATGCTCAGTAAACAGTTCATTGTGTATATAATCTATACAACTATTCTCTTTGGAAATCATACAGAAAATTTAATCAACAAGGTGTTTTATATGTATAGATCAAGTCATCTTGTGTTTGTCTCTCACCAATTTACCCTTTTGTTTTTTTTTCTTTTGCACAAAGAAACAGCCAATAGAAATGATCATTTATTCATCATAATGTACAACATCTGGTTATAAGAGTAAAAGGACAGAGTCACTGTTGCAGTCCAAGCTTCAGTTATCAGCCTGAGTTGGGAACAATGCATCTGTAACCTACACTTGTTAAATGTCTGATATCTGGTTATGCTACATGTTTCTGGGTGGATCGAATTGTGTCAGAAAGAAGAATTAAAATTTCTTTGGGATAAAAAATGCATACTACTGTGACATCAGACATCCAGTATCATTAGTTGAAATTATTAAATGTCATTATTTAGAATTACATTTGAAGAAAATTTAAAATGTGAGTTAATGATTTGTATTGCGTTTGTCTGTCATTTGTTGGAAGAGCCTTTTTCTCTCAGAGAACTATAAGTGAGATCAACAACCACAGTTTTTGGTTAATATTCAATTGCATTTTCATTTTAGTTTTGGGATTGGCCACCGACCATTTGCAAACAAACCACAGTTGTTAATAAATAAATAATAATCTTTCCTAAGCTAACCGACCAGCATTTATACATTCACAGCTGTGACAAAAAATGCATATAGACTGTGCAAGCCTGTGCTTGTTTGCTTGTTTTGCATCACTGTTGTGTACAGGTATATGATCAGCTATACTGAGGGCCAATATATGAATTATACATAATAGTATAGATAGTTAGTGTAAAAAAATAAATGGGAAAGGATCATTTAAAAAAGGCTAGTAGATAAACAAGAAGAGAAAGCAAGTGATAAAGGAACAACTGTGCCTTTGAGGAAACATTTGGCTAAACTGGAATGACAGCTCATCGAGAGCTGTGGAGATGGAAGACATACAGAACTTGTTTACTGTCACTCTCTGCACTCTTTGGCCAGAGGGGGAAGCCCGGTTTATCAGAAGAAAACCCTGGGAACCCTACAATGGGAAGCTATTCGTGTTTATATTTTGTGTTATACTGATTGCGTTGCTATGCTACAGTACTGTACGCTAACATACTCTGACTTCACAGGTGTGCAGTTTGTCTACAATGGGAGCTGAATTAGCCTATCTGTGTCTGGGACAGCCACTTCTGGGTGTCTGACCACACATGGGCTAGTTCAGCTTCACCAGGTGGGGGATGTGACCTCCAGTGTGAAAGCAGGGAGTTGGGAACAAGGTCAGGGTGGGAGGGAGATAGGGTGCCGTGCAGTGACTGCACTGCTGTACTGGTTTTTGTTACCAGTAGGTGTGCAGCTGTAGAAAGCGGCCCTGAGTTGTCGTGTGGCGGTGGGAACAGGGAGCTCTTGCCGAGGGGGCAGCAGTGAGGTGGACGCTCCTCTGGTCAGATCTTCCTCCTCTTCCTGCTCCTCTCCCTGTTTTTGCTTCTCCTCTTCCTCCAGCTCACCAGCCTCCTGCTCCTTCTCTCATAGGGCTTCTGCTCTTTGTTCTCTTCTTCGCCCCAGGTGTGGCCAGAGAAGGTGGTGGCTGGCTTTGGAGAGATGAGGGCTGCTGCTGCCCCCTGGTGGCGCCCTGGTCCCTGTGCTCTATGACCTCCAGCCTGACCCCAGCTGACAGCAGGCTGCACCTGCAGGAAAGCATGGGGCATATTAAGGAGAGAAAAAAGAACCAGTACAAGAAACCAATAGCAAAATAACCAAAGACTAAATATGATGAAGTAAGAAAGAGATATTTCCTCTCACCTATGTCTGTGGTAGTAATCATTCTATCAACTCTTGAGTCTCAGAAAACTAGTGAATGGACACAGGAGGTGGAAAGGTTGTAATTAATAATGCAGCCAAACTGTTAATAACTCAAACATCTGTTGTGTGTTTATCTTACTTGTTGGCTGGAGTTAGCTGAGGGTGGGGTGATCACACTTTGGTCCAATAAGGGGTTAACAGGGGCAGAACAGGGGAGATGCGTAGCACGCCAGTAAATTTCCAGGTACTCCGCAAGGTGTTCACACGCATCTTCCAGCTGATTCTCATCCAGGATGACATCAAACATCTCCTAATGAGCCAAAGATAGGAAAATGACAGATGAGAAAGAAAAGCTACACCAAAGACCACTGCATGATTTTCAACTCAAACCCTTCCCTGAGCATTATACTTCTGAGTTTCAGGCAGACATACAGGTGGACACTGAGCTAGCTTGTCTCCTGCCATCATCTGGACGTTGAGGTGTTTGCTTTGCGACTTCCCCCGAGATTTGATTAGCCTCTGAAGAACCTGGGAGATGACAAGGAGAGACAAAGAGAGTAAAAAGTCAAAAAAGAAAAACCCACAAATGAAGGTTGTCAAATGCATAGTTCCCATTTAATAATTGTCCTCATTGTTTTCGTCTTTTATTTAGTCACATAAAGCAAACGCTTTGTACCATATCATCTGAAATCTGATTTTATTCTTTCGAACTCCTTTTATTTAGAGAAGCCCATTTTAGCATGTGAGTGCAAAACTAAATCATTATGAGTTGTCATTTGTTTAAGCAACATATTCTGTGAATCATTGTAATTAGGACTGCAACTAATTAATTATCTTTTTTGTCAATTCAACATTAAATCTATGAAATGTCCAAAAAATTCTTCTTTAAATGTCTTGTCTTGTCTGACCAAGAGTCTAAAACTCAAAGATATTAGTTTACAGTGATATTCAACAGAGAAAAGCAGCAAATCCTCAAATTCTTACTTGATCCATTCACAAAATAGTTGCTGAATAATTCTCTGTCAACAAGTCATAAATTATTCCACTATCACTTTCACTCTAATTTTAATAACAATCAATGAATACAAAACGCTAGTCTTGGATGAATTGTGATGTTTATGCGGGTTGTGCTCTACTTTAGGCGAGGACACTTTGACGTAGACGATGATGGGAGCCAGAGAAGTTTTGAGGAGCTGTGCTGGGTGGTTGATGGTGTCTGCATCCAGGACAACCAGCTGAAGAGACTTGGCCAGCTCAAAGATCCTCTCTATCTCACTCTGGACCTCAGCTGTCAACAAACCAAAGAAAGACAGGGAGTTGACACATTTATCAGATCACTTAGTACAGACCTGACATTAAAGGAAGAAGAGGCATTTATTCTTAGCAGGTATTATCTTTATTTAGCAAAAAGAAAAAAATAAACAAACATCAAAGACAGCTTTCTCAGTCACTCACCCAGACTGGAGCGTGTGTTGGATCTCTCCATTATGGCCTTCTTGTTCAGCACCGAGCGCTTCGCCAGTGACAGATCAGCAGTCACCCGTGTAATAGAGATCCTACAGAAGAAGCGTCTTATCACATCACATCCACAACTGTTCCATTTCATAGGATGAGATGAACTTGTACTCTCTTGCAGCTAAAAATAAATCATTATCATCATGTGTCCTATCGACCATGAAACGTGATAGGCAGAATCCCACGAACAGCTCTGGAGCTCGGTCACAGTGCTACTGTACACTGAGCTGCAGCTGTAGAGAGCAACACAGGCAGCCGTATACCCACCTGCCGTCAAATCTGTGCTTTAGGAAGTCAAACAAGGCTTTCTGCATCATGTCTGTTACCTAGGCGACAGATAGGAGGAAGAAACAGTGGAGAGAAGTTAGGAGAGACTAGTATCAAGAAATATACACCTTTGCACACACACATATTTACAGTACTTATATTTTTTACCCACTTTTGTTTAGGTAACACTTTAGTTCAAGTCAAAAGAACAATTATATCTTGTCCTATGCAGAAATATTTTGTATTTCTACACCTGTGTTTTACTATATTGTCATTCATCTGTTTATCAGCCTCATGGGAGGAGTTATAGTCTTTGACAAATACATTAATAATTAATGCTTATGAATACTGAATAGGGGGACTTAAAGTACAGTGTTGACTGTTGAGTGTTAGACAGAACGAATCATTGTGAGTTATTATCTATTTTACAAGACTGACCTGGCCAAAATGGCAGCATATAATAATCAACACACATTCACAAGAGAACATAATTTGGCACATTCACATTTAACACAATATAGTAGAACCGAAAATACATATAAGTATAATATCACTTCATTTTTAAAACAGGACATTCCTCAAGAAAGAAGATAGTGTTATCACCAGAAAAGGCGGTCAGCACAGATAGAAATGAGCACCATTAAAGTCCCTCCCACTCAAAATTTGCAATTATTGTTACCTCACTATTTGAGCTTGACTGTGCAGAATGACGTAATGATTTTGTCGCAACTAGTCTGGAGCTAGTCATGAGCTAATTGTGATTAGTTACAGTAAACTATTGAAATGAACCGTATTTGTAAATTCCTGGATTCTGGATTTTGAAGGAGAAGGAGTAGTTGTAGATTAATCAGGTAATGTGAACTTTTTGGTGTAAAAACCATAATAAATTCAATTATCATCCCAAGCAGAGTTTATGTCTTCAAACATGTGTTGTGGGGATCTTTAAGGATGATATGTGTTTGCTTTGCGTATGTTTCCATGTGCACTGTGGGTGAAGTGAAGCAGTCTATTTTCAAACAGTGCTGAAAAATGGATGGCCTTTGGGACAGGGGATGGAGCGCACAGTGGTGTTGCTCCTCCACAGTGTAACAGAGAGATAGAGAAACAGCGGGAGGGAAAGAGGGAAGGCAACGTCACAGAACGATGGTGAGCAACCGAACATAATATGTAGAAGTGAGACAAAGCAGGGAGAAAGAGAATGAGAGGGGAAGAGAGAAGGAGACAGGCTGGCGTTCACCACTGGAGCATCCCCAAAGCACATCACCAGAGCGATGCATAAATATTTCACACACACACAAAACAAACGGCTTGGCACACAGCCTGCGCATCACAGAAGAGAGAGCAAGGCAGAAAGAAAATGTTGAAGCACAGAGACATTCTGTTCAATTACACGCCTCACATTTCAGCAGCTTCATTCAGAATCGACATAGTCTACGATTAATCGAGTTTAACTGCAGTGTGTTTTCATACATCTCATTACATATGTGTGTTAAAGACAGTTTAGTATGAAGGAATATCACAAACAGTAGCTAAAATAAAAGGGACACACATGCAGTTCTGTATTACTACAAAATGGATCTAAGATTCCTGTTGTGTGGCTATAATTTCATCAGGATGTGACTGTGGTGTTTAGTATCAGTGTTAATGGGATAATGGAGGCGAGAGTGAATCCCTTTAAATCAAACCAGGCAAGTCCATGCAGGACCAGAAAATACAGTCCAGATTAAACTGTAGCAAACAATGGCAGTCCAGAAAAGAAAAGACCATAGACTGAGCTTTTTGATTAATCAAATCTTTGTATAAAATAATACTCATATAAATACTAATTAATACAGCATAAAGAGATACTTATTTGTCTAGGTATAATGTATTATTAGATACAATTAGATTAGGGTTTTCTCATGCTAACGTTTGATAATTAGCTCTAAACAAAACGAACAGTTGAGGCTGATAGGGATGTCTTTAGTTTTTAAGGTATTACAAAATTTTGACCTGATGATGGCGCTACAAAAGTCTTTTATGGGATCACCAAAATTATTACATTTCAACTTGAGGACCAGTTTTCAGCGCAATAGTTATCAAGACATTCCACTCAAAAGCATAAATGTCAACTTCATAGTGGCACTAAAGGAAAAGTTAGGATCACCAAATCCAGCAGGATACATCTGTACAAAATGTGCCAATCCATCATGTAGATTTGGTGGCACTAGAGAAAATGTCAGGGGGTCACCAAAGTTTTATCCTCTTGGCACCATAAATGTGTGTATAAAATTTCATGGCAATCCATTCAATAGATATTTCAGTCTGAACCAATGTTGCAGACAGATTGGCACTGCTATCCCTACAGTCATGATAAAACGCTAGCATGCAGGCTACCATCTTGGATGCCCCTATAAAACATGATAAAGTTCCCTCTAGGGTGTCGGTCCTTTGGACAAAATGTGGTAAAGTCATCCTAAACCTGACTAAGCTGTTTTACAATAAATGCGTAAGAACTTTCTGCGCTCTCGTACCCTTTTTATTTTTTCCTCCTCTGCCCCTCAAACAGCCACCAGTCCACCACTGCTAAAAACAGAAAATGTTTAGTGGTATGAAGTGGTTCACCAGTAAGAAAATACTCATATGTCAGAAGGTATAAGTACCAGATATTTGGTAATCATACTTTAAGTGTATTCTTTTTTACGTGTAGGATTTAAAAACATCTAACTTATATTATTACTGTATCAAATGTTTACAACAAACAAAATAAAAAATATACACAGTTGGCCATCATTTATTTCTGCAAAGAAAACTAAATGAAATTGTTATTTTAAATTATTATTATTATAACACAAACTTTGAAGACCTGAACACAAACTATATTCACAGAGCCTTCTCTCTCTGATAAACAGCCCTGTCCAGCATTAGACAAGTACAAACAACCAAAGAGTTAATAGAACAATGAGAAGAAAACACTGAATTAAAATTCAAAAAATATGAAAGAGTATTGTATAAATATTGTTCACAGGAAATATTCTGCTCAAAATTAATCCAAATCACTCGTTTTACATAAACTCCATAAAGTATGTCATTCAGGGGTCGCCGGTAAAGGTTGGGAACCACTGGACTAATTGATTAACTGGTTAAATAATTTCAGAATATGCTCCATATCTGACCACATCCAGGTAATTACTCCAAACACAAGGCACGACTTGAATAAGCAGAACCAAACTATACTAACTGAAAAGCAGTATAAATGGTTGTCTCACCTCGTAGCCTTTCAGTGAGGGGCCCACCAGCACCACTGGCCGCATAGAAGGGACCACATCATACGGAGGAACATGTTCGGTCTGCACAGGCCACAAGCACAGAATGGGTTTGGAGGTGGAAAAATATACAACAAGTTGAAGTGAATTTACTGTATTGACACACTTTGCTAACACACTCAAAAGAATGATAACTAGGTGCGCAGAGCTTTAAAAATGCAATGAAATGCATTAAGTGTGGCAGTATAATTGAGGCTGTAAAGTGATACACGGGAAAAGGCACAATGGCAAACATACCTGTTTCTGCTTCTGTTTGGCTTTCAGAATAAACAGAATGAACATTAAGCAAGAAAGATAAAAGCTAATATAAAGTAATTACTTCAGTAAAAAAAGGTTATAAGACTTGGCAGGAGTGTATTAAGAAAGAAAACATGCCTGACGGACGGCTGGACTGAAGAAAAGTACATTGACATTGTGGCCATACAGTGGTCATCTAACACACATCATTAAGGTTCCTCTGTGCTCAAAATCATGTTTGTCCTCTTGTTTCTACAGTTCACTGTGCAGAATGATGTATGTGCAGAGGTTGACGCTAGAAGGATGTTTTCAC